ATCATAAGAATGGACATATCTATTTAACTAATAGGTTGTTTCCTCTTGACTGTCAGGAGGCATACAAAAATGGTACAGTATGCAGTGGAGTATATACTGTGACACCTGATGATCTACCAGCTTTTGACGTAAATATAATTTCAATATAAACAGTATATATAGAACCCTTTATAATAATGACAATTTAATGTCCTGACTATACACAAAGTACCTCAATGAGGAGTCTTCTGTATTAAGGATAGTGTGGGCCCAATGGTGTCCTTAAAAAAGAGGCTACACTGTAGCAGTATATAATTTGTATTCAATAGGTCTATTGTGATATGAGTAATGGAGGTGGATGGACTGTATTTCAAAGGAGAATGAATGGTAAAACTGATTTCTACCTCAACTGGGATGACTATCAGTATGGATTTGGAGACCTCGACAAAGAGTTTTGGCTGGGACTTTATTACATAAACCGACTCACTGCAGCACAAAGCAATAACCTCCGTGTTGAGTTGGAAGATTTTGATGGGAATAAGAAGTATGCTACTTATTCTACTTTTAAAGTAGGGAATGCAGACACAGAGTACACACTCACTGTGTCTGGATATGGAGGCAATGCTGGTGATAGTCTGAGCTATCATAGCAGAATGAAGTTTTCCACCAAAGATCAAGACAATGACGACTCCTCAGGAAACTGTGCAACAGCTTATGATGGAGCATGGTGGTATAAAAGCTGTCATCTCTCAAACCTCAATGGTCTCTATTTGGTTGGGTCTCACTCCTCATATGCCAATGGTGTCAATTGATATGGTTTCAAGGGATACGAGTATTCACTGAAGACAACTGAAATGAAACTAGGAAGCAGCTAAACAGTCAGTGCCTACTGGAGAACTAACCGTGGCAGTTCATTATTGCTAGTATAGTTGAGTCCATTTATATTTACTTTTTGCTACAAATATTCAATTGATTTCAAGTCTAGTCAAATTATGAGTGTACATGTACATAATCACAATTAGCAACACTAGCAGTATATGGTAGAATTAATAATGAGATTATCATAAGAAAAGGCTTAAAATACATGTAGCATGTACATGTATGTAACAAGTATACTTGGTCCCACCAGTGATATCAGTAATAGTCTACAAGTGTATAGTACCTTTCATTTTATGGCTTCCACAGTAGTCAATGATTTGAAATGTTAATTAGTAACATATTCTATATTTACATAATAATTTACTATCTACATATTTACTCTAGCTATGCATGCATTTTATGTTTTTGTGAGTCAGTACTGACTTGTCACTTGTGAAATCACAGAACTTATTACCACACCTACTGTAGCCACTGATTAAAAACAGAAATACCAAAGACTACACAATGCTTTAGCAACTTTTTGGAGAAAAATTAAAATTTCCATTTTGACCAAAAACAGCTCGAATTCTCTACAAAATATATGAGCACTGTGATAACACTTTTTGTTGCCTGAAAATATCAAATAAAAAGAATGAATTTGCATTTGTGTTAGAAGATTTGATCAACAAATGTGTGAACTTTATTTTGTAACTTGACTATAACATACACATACAATATGTGCATATTCATTATCAGTAAAAGTATCATTCCATTCTATGTAATCTATATTTTACTACTGACAAGATATTGCATGCAATAAAAATATGTCAGCCAAATTTATTATAGTAGTAACTAATGATTTCTGAAATTCACAATAATTTTGGCCATTAAATAGTATCTAAAATTTGCAATAGTTTTGACCAGTAAATTCACAATAATTTTGACTAGTAGTAAATAAAGCTCCAGTATGTTATAAAAGAAGTAGCTGTACACAAACACTCATCACTGGTAACCTACAGTAAAAGGATTGCTCAGTATTAGTTCTATACAGCAAGTCAAGACAAGATGGATTCCTGTTCTTATTTTAAGCTGATAGGATGCTTCATTCTTATTAGCATTGCTATTGTTCCAACACAAGGTATGTCATACAGTAACAACAATCATAAGAATGGACATATCTATTTAACTAATAGGTTGTTTTCCTCTTGACTGTCAGGAGGCATACAAAAATGGTACAGTATGCAGTGGAGTATATACTGTGACACCTGATGATCTACCAGCTTTTGACGTAAATATAATTTCAATATAAACAGTATATATAGAACCCTTTATAATAATGACAATTTAATGTCCTGACTATACACAAAGTACCTCAATGAGGAGTCTTCTGTATTAAGGATAGTGTGGGCCCAATGGTGTCCTTAATAAAGAGGCTACACTGTAGCAGTATATAATTTGTATTCAATAGGTCTATTGTGATATGAGTAAT